TGAGGTCGTCTGGTCTCATGTCACTGTCTTCCCGTGAGTCTGTTTATGTCTATGAATTGGAAAGCTTTATTCCTGAAGTACGTGTGAGTATACATTTCCCGGTAAAATCTTGATATCGGGTGTTGACATATCATCGGCACGCACGTGTACTATTGTTTACCATGGGCCTGTTCGTTTATGCGGAACAACCGGTTTGACCGTTTATAAATGTAACAATTTCGGGTGTAAATCCTGGCGGACCTGCAAATGTGTATGCAGGCCTTGCAAGGCTTTCTCAAGACTCGCCTGAAAGCAGCATCAGATTACTAGGTCCGACCTTATTTAATAAACGAACAACAGTGGTCCGATCGGTTTGACCGTTTAATCGAAAACGGCCCAGCAGGTGTTACTATAATTTGCACTACGATATTGAATGCCCGATACGCAATACGGAAATGACGACACGGTGTACATGCACATTTCGATTAAGATAATTGAGTCCTAGCTGTACTTTTTCCGGAAGTATGTCACGAAAATGGACGCTGATGACGATGTGTCGAGCCACCTTAAACAGCATTCTGTTCCATGTTATGGTCCTATAACAAGGAACAGGATTGCAGACAAATAATCATAATGCGCTAACACGCAATCCTGTTCCATATTATAGGACCATAATACGGAACAGAATGCTGTTTAATGCTTAAATATCGGAACAATGCTTAGAAAAGCAAGTTCAATAATTTCCTTTTATATTAAGATTTTTTTTGTGATTCTACACAATTTTCTGTCACACTGATGACTGAAATCACTCCTAGCAGAATATAATTATTTTTTCAATTGATCAAGTAATGTTATTTGCATGATCAGATCCTACTGTAGCGTATATTTAGCTATGACACTAAGTTAAGATACAGGGGATCACATGGGTATTACTGGTAGTTAGATAGAGGGTCCCAGTCTTCTCTTAGATGTTGTATCTTGTACAAAGTAGAATTCCAATTTGTTTGGCATGAAGGAAAAGTTGATTTCTTTCCCCCCCACAAACTTTATTTCCTTTATGACGATTCAAACCTCAGAACATTTTATTATAAAGCAGCTTAAGAGTTAATCCAATGTGCTCCTGTTCATATTTAATATGTTAATACTTTTCAGTAACTTGACTGAGAATAATTTCAAAACATTCCTACCCTATAAAAATGTCCCCGTCAATTGATTTTCTTTTAATGAATATCAAGGAAACAACATAAATTTAAGAGGAAAATACTTTTTAAATGTCTGTGTACAGTAGAAATTGGTGGGACTCTCGACCTTAAACTGATCGTTGATCTGGCCTGGCCTACTTGAACATCGGAAATATTGTTGACTTCTTATAAGTATTAATACATAATGGAAGCATAACTATTTTTGTTGTAAAATTGTTAAAAATATCGGTAAAAATTTAATGAACTTTTAAAAATATCTAATGAATTAACTTCTGAATTTAGTCTTGAATTCAAAAGACCACAAGTGAACTTTGTTGTCAATCAGAAAACCCCCATAATGATGTGCTGTCGATGAAAAAGTTACACGTTTCCAAAACAATTAATTCATGATTAGGTTGGTGACAACAGCCCTAGTAGACCATCTTGATCTTTTCTCCACAACAGGCCTAACATGTCCAAGTTTGAACTGGGAGAATTCCATCAGTGTGCCGCAGAGATCCAAGTGGCAGGCTCAAGCCATGATGACAAAGATACAGCACCGATCAATACTAGGGCATCCAACACTACAGTCAACACTGCCTTCATGTCAAAATAGTGTTACCATAGTAACTTGACGATCGCAGCTGACGATTATCACAATAAAGGACAGACCAGGTAAATTAAGCCTCTACCTGTGTTAGCAGGTCGTTAGATCTGGTCAAGGATAATTGGATTCATCTGATCATGATTTCATAATTCCAAATAGGCACCTATACACAAACACCATACGTATACCTGTATAAACTGTCATAAAGGTCAATTCAGATCAGGAGGATAATGCCAACTTCATTAATATTATAGTTCATCATCAAGCCAGCATCAGTGATTTATTCAAAGCAGACTTTGAAGCCCCAGGGCCCATTTTCATGCTCAAGCATGAATTCTTTGATCAAACTAACTTTCTTTAACTCCCTGAATTCCTGCAAACACTGCAGTCAATATTTTAAATCTAGACATAAAAAAAAGAATCCAGCATCAGGTCTGGTCTCCAACATTCTTCCAAATTTATTCAAGGAACAAGAAATTGGGCTTGAGAACAAAATCAGAGTTAAAGCATGAGAACAGTTTCATTAATATGGGAAAAACCATTTGTAAAATACAATCATTAAAAATAACTCATAAAGACTTTTAATTGCTCTACAATGAAAAGTGTTAGTATATTATCCTATCTGCTGTAGCGCTGTGACAACTAAGGAAAGGTGCTGTTGTTGACCTTGATGGAAATTTTGATTTAATATGCAGCTCATGAAGTATCAAGTTTGTTTTTGATAATTTTTATGTAACAAGGATTTTCTTTCACCTAAGCAAACTACATACCAATAATCTAGTCCTTGTAGTTG